TCCCTACAACCCCCCCTCCCCCCCCAGCACACACACCCACACTGGTGCCCACATCGTGCTCTTTATTGCCACTGGCAGCAGTGTGTGGGGGCCACACAGGACCCCCCCCAGCAGATGGGATCTGTGTGTGTGTCTGTGTGTCTGTGTGTCTGTGTGTCTGTGTGCCCCCCCCCCTTCACGGGACACCCCCAGGCTCTGGGGGTCCCCCCATGCAGTGCTCACGCAGCCCCCATTGCTGCACCCTCACTCGGATGGGAGCAACACGGAGAGATGGGGACAATTTGTGGGGTGTGGGGGGGTTGGGGGTAATGGGGGTCACCAGGAGGAGTCGTCGTCGATGTCGGACCTGTGGGGACAGCAGGGGTTAAGTGTGGGGACACAGCTTGGGGGGGTCAGGGGGGGTCAAAGGGGTCGGGGTGGGGGTGATGCTCACCACAGTGCATCACTGCGGGGACCCACGGGCTGCACCAACACTGCAGGCACGGAGCTGCTGCGCTTCCCGTACCTGTGGAGACGTGTAAAGGGCTGCACGTGGGTGTGCAAATAATGGGAGCGTGGGGGTGTGCAAGCAGGAGCTCACGGGCATGGGGATGGGAGCGTGTGGGTGTGCAAATTGGAGAACGCGGGTGTGCAAATGGGAGCGCGTGGTTGTGGGAGTAGGGTTGTGCAGGTGTGCAAATGTGTGTGCGTGCAAATGGGGGCATGCAGGCGTGCAAGTGGGAGTTCATGGGTGTGCAAATGAGAGCACGCCAACATGCAAGGGGGAGCGTGCAGGCGTGCAAATGGAAGCTCATGGGTGTGTAAATGAGAGCACACATGCACGCAGTTGTGAGCATGCAGATATGCAAATGGGAGCTTGTGGGTGTGCAAAGGGAAGCACACAAGCACGCGAGGGGGAACATGCAGGTGCGTAAATGGGAACTCACAGGTGTGCCAATGGGAGCATGCGGGTGTGCAAATGGGAGCTCGTGGGTGTGCAGTGGGGAGCACAGAAGCACGAAGGGGGAGCGTGTGGTTGTGCAAATGGGAGTTCACGAGTGTGCAAACGACAGCACACAAGCAAAGGGGAGCATGCGGGTGTGCAAATGGGAGCATGTGTGCCAATGGGGGTATGTGGTTATGTGGATGGGTCATGGGTGTGCAAGTGGGAGAACACAAGCATGCAAGGGGGAGCACGGGGATGTGCAAATGGGATCACATGTGTGCAAATGTGGGGTGACGGCTGTGCAAATGAGAGCACAAAACAAGCACATGAGCATGTGGGTGTGGAAATGGGGGCGTGCAGGGGTGCAAATGGCAAGCCATAGGTGTGCACGTGAGCGTGCAACGGGGAGCTTGCGGGTGTGCAAACGGCAAGCCATGGGTGTGCACATGAGCGTGCAACGGGGAGCGTGTAGGTGTGCAAACGGGAGCTGACAGGCGTGCGAAGAGGAGCGCGCAACCATAAAAGAGGAGCGGTGCGCAAACGGGAGCGCAGGGCTGCGCGCCCAGCAGCTCGCAGGCGCACACGGGCGTGCGGGTGTGCAAACACGCGGCTGTGAGCGTGCAAACGGCCCCGCACGGCGCTCACCGCTGCCTCGTGACCAGGTTGATGTAATGGCGCAGCGCAGAGAAATACTGCGCGATCTCCTCGGGTGACGCCGCGTCTCCGGGGTTTTCGGGTTTCGGTGGATACGCGGCCGCGCACAGCAGCGCGCAAAGCGCCAAGGCGGGCAGAACGCGGAGCGGAGCCAGGCGCATCTGCGTCGGATGGCATAGAAAGGGGCGGGCGGGGAGGGGGAGGTCAGAGCGGTGCCCACCCCCATTACAGCTCCCCGCGACCCTCGGGGTCCCACCCGACACGGAGCTGCTCTGTTGGTTCTGTGTTGTCCCCCTCCTCCTCCTCCTCCTCCTCCCCACCTCCATTGGGATCCTTCTGAGGTCAGCAAGTGGATGCATCGCTCCCCACTGGGACCCCCCCCAAACGGGACCCCTCCCTCAAAGGAGACCCTCTCCAAAAGGGGACACCTTCCCCCAAAAGGGACCCCCCCCAGAAGGGACACCCCCCAAAGGGGACCCCTCCCTCAAAGGAGACCACCTCCAAAAGGGACCCCTCACCCAAAAGGGACGCCCCACCCAAAAGGGAACCCTCCCTCAAAGGAGACCCTCTCCAAAAGGGGACAC